TGTCTCCCGCAGGAGCCAGACAGAGATCGCAATGGCGGCACAGCCCAGAAAGTCGACATTTTAAAACAGCCAGTTTTTTCCTGCTGCTGAGTCAGGACAATTTCTTTGCGGCACGCAACCCACAAACAGCAAAAAGCTGTCTTAAATTCTCTCTCTCTCCTTTTTAAGCCCTCTCAGGTTTTACGTGGAGTTCATTAGCACGTTGGGTGCCACTCTGTTGAAATAAGAGCAGTGGGCTGTGTCCCGCCACCCGGCTAGCTTTACCCGAAATAATTACACGGAAACTGTATTCTTTTAAACACTGCCTGACCCATTAGTTTTAGTTTCTTATTGGCTAGCTTTTACATATTTATCTAACCCATTTCTATTAATCTGTGTAGCCCACGAGCTGGCTTACCAGGAATGATCTTAACCTGCGTCTGTCTGGAGTGGGAGAATCATGGCGACTCCCTGACTCAGCTTCTTTCTCCCAGCATTCCGTTCTGTTTACTCCGCCTACCTAAGGGTTGGCCTATCAAATGGGTCTAGGCAGTTTCTTTATTAATAAGAAATCACTCCCACATCAGGAATGTAGTTAGAAGGTTGCTGGGAAGATGAGGTTTGCTCCACATCAGTTGTTATGAGCAAGGAGAGTGGGGTCAACTCTGCTAAAAGGAATGACAGCTGAGCTATGCAGAGTCCTCCTGAGCTTCTTGAGCTGTGGAAGTAGCTCAACTGGTAGAGTGCGTGTTGCCTGGGGTGCATGAAGCCGGGAGTTCAATCCCAGCACCAGTCTGAGTGTTATGGCTCCTGCACTGGGGAGATGGAGACAGAAGTTTAAGGTCATCATCACCTAGGAGATTGAGGCTAGCTAGACTACTTGAGATCTCTTCCCCACAATCCCCATTCCCAAAAGAGAAAAAGGAGAAATCTTTTTTTTTTATATTTATTTATTTTTTTATGTATACAATAGTCTATCTGTATGTATAGATAGGCCAGAAGAGGGCACCAGACCTCATTACAGATGGTTGTGAGCCACCATGTGGTTGCTGGGAATTGAACTCAGAACCTTTGGAAGAGCAGGCAATGCTCTTAACCACTGAGCCATCTCTCCAGCCCCAAAGATTTATTTATTTATTGTGTACACACTGTTCAGCCTCCTTGTATGCCTGCAGGCCAGTATGCCTGCAGGCCAGAAGAAGGCACCAGACCCCATTACAGATGGTTGTGAGCCACCGTGTGGTTGCTGGGAATTGAACTCAGGACCTCTGGAAGATCAGCCAGTGCTTTTAACCTCTGAGCCATTTCTCCAGCCCTTGGAGAAATCTTGAAAGGGAAAATGGTTTGTTCGAGGGCCTGACAGGGAAGGTAAGTTAAAGGTTAGGGCTAAAAAGGGGGTAGGGGTGGGGAAGAGGGATAAACTGCTAGACACTGTCTGGTGTTTCACTATTTCCTCACACAGAACCCAGGGCTCAGGAAACTGAGAGACTTAATTGGTAAATACAGTTTACATCCATATGAGGATGTGGATAAGGGGCGCAGAAGGAAGCCCAGACCTCCTCTTCGATCAGGGACCCAAGGACCCAGGTCCCCACTCCTTACTCTGCATATTCTCAGGATATGGTGGCTTTCTGAGACACAGCCAGAGTCCAGGGGGGAAGTTGGGGTGCCCAAAAGGAGTAGCCTTCAACTCATTCTTATCTCCACGGGGGCATATTTGCACCACTGGTTCAATGGCCCCATAAAACCTACGGTTGGAGTTCATTTACCCTTCCTGGGAGGCTGAATGTTCAAGCGGATGAACCCCACAATAAGAGAAAAGATACGGGTGTGGGTGGATGGAAGGGGCGGGTCAGATGCACCACGGAAAGAGGGTAGAGCTGAGTCAGGCACCCCGGTGCCAACTCGGTCCTTTCCACCCCTCACCACTTCCATCCTGTGTTTGGCGGCTGAGCAACAGTTTGGGAGAAGTCAATGCTCCTCATTTGGGAGAAGTTTGTGGGTTGGGAGCTAAGTGGGGGCTAAAGAGGCCATAGGTCTGTCCTGCTAGCTTCTCACCCATGTCTTACGGCACCGCTGCTCTGAATTTCGGTTTGCAACTTCACACACTTGTTTGGGAAGAATCAATGAATGAAATAAACCAGAAGGCCCAATACCTATTAGCTATCACTGTCATTGTTATTTCTTCATTATTATTACTCTGGAGGAGAAATTCTCACATGGCTGTGGAAGAGAATGGAAACCATTCTAGCCTTTCTGAATGGCAGTGATAGCTATAAATACTTTATTATTCCTTAAAAAAATCATTACCTTGTACTTACTTATTGTGTGTGTGTGTGTGCACGTGTGTGTGGACCCGTGCCACACCACATGTGTGCCAAAGGGCAACTTCCTATCAGGTGGGTCCTGGGGATTGAACTCAGGCCATCAGGCTTGGTGGCCCTTTTTTTTTTTTTTTTTGGATTTTTCGAGACAGGGTTTCTCCGTAGCTTTTGGTTCCTGTCCTGGAACTAGCTCTTGTAGACCAGGCTGGCCTCGAACTCACAGAGATCCACCTGTCTCTGCCTCCCGAGTGCTGGGATTAAAGGCGTGCGCCACCACCGCCCGGCTTCGTGGCCCTATTTTATTATTTCTTAAATTAATCAATTATTATTATTTTCGAAGGCAGTGTCTCACTCTGTAGCACCAGCTGTCCTGGAATTCTGGATAAACCTCCTGCCTCGGTCTCAGATCTTAGTACCAAGTACAAAGATTACAAGCACGCACCACAATGCCCTTCTAGGTATATTTTAAATATAAGACCTTTTTTGTGTGGTGTGGTGGCATATACCTCTAAACCCAGACCCGGGAGTCAGAGGTAGGCAAATCTCTGAGCTCAAGACCAGCCTAGACTACATAGAGACACCTTGTCACTTGTTTCTTCTGGGAATATTATGTTTAGTAATCTATCCCTTTATTTATTTTTTATTTATTGTACAAAAACAATAAGGGCCCTATACAACATATGGAGTGTTCATACGTATTCCAGTTTGATTGGTTCTTCCCACCTTCTCCCCAGCTCTCTCCTCACCCCTTTCGCCCTCTTCCCCACTGTACCCTTTAATCCCAGTATTTCTCCCTTCCATGTTGCTCTATTGTTTCCCTTGGAAGCTGTTTTCCCCAGTCACAGGGCCTCTTTCTTGCTTAGGAATCCATCCTTAGTAGCTAGTCCTAACTCATTATCTGAGATATACACACCCGGAGAGATATGAGTAATAATTACTTAACTATAATAGAAAAGGACTGAAAATAACCCAAAGATCCAGGGAGAAAATAAATTAACATAGACTAGAATCTGACTGACGACTGATTGTGGTGCTGTAGATGGACTCCAAGACCATGCCCATGCTAGGCAAGCTCTCTACCACTGAGCAATTTAAGATGATATAAACATCAAATGTATTGGTGTTTGCCCGAAGATCCACCTTTTGGGAGGGCAAGGCAAAAGGATCAGGAGTTTAAGGTCATCCTAGACTACACAAGGAGTTTGAGGCCTATCTGTGCTACTTGAGACTCTGTCTCAAAAAGGGAGAAGAGAGGAGAGAGAGAGAGAGAGAGAGAGAGAGAGAGAGAGAGAGAGAGAGGGAGGGAGAGAGAGAGAGAGAGAGAGAGAGAGAGAGAGAAGAGAAAGGAAAAACTGATTATCCAGTTTCTAGGACCGGAGACTGAAGAACAGTGAAGTGTGTGGCAGAACTGACTTTCATCAGTTTAGAAAGTACTGAGGTCCATAAGATGGCTCATCAGAGAAAGGCACTTGCTGCCGGGTTTTGCCTGAACTCAATCTCTGTGCCCCACATGATGGAGACAGAGAACCCATTTCTGAAAATTGCCTTCTGGCCCGCGCACACACACACACACACACACACACACACACACACACGCATATAGGAGCACATGCACACTCAAAAGAAAGAGATCTATGTGAGTTCGAGGCCAGCCTGGTCTACAGAGTAAGTTCCAGGACAGCCAAGGCTGCACTGAGAAACCCTGTCTCAAAAAAACCAAAAAAAGAAGGGGGGTGTGGTGGTGTGAAAAAGAGGGGTGGTATGGGGGAGGAGAGAGAGAGAGAGAGAGAGAGAGAGAGAGAGAGAGAGAGAGAGAAGAGAAATAACTTAGTCTCAAGTTTGGGAGTCAGCAACTGTGGCTAATTCTGCTTTGAACAGAAATGATGGGGGCTCATAGAGAGGAGACCCCAGAAAAGGAGAGTTTTTATTTGTTTGCTTTTGGTTTGTTTCTGAAACAGGACCTTATTCTTATTCTGCAGTCCATGCTGTCCTTGGTCTTATGGCAATTCTCCTACCTCAGCCTCTCAAGTACTAGGGCTATAGATAGGGGTCACAATGCCCAGCCAAAACTTTGTATTCAACAGTAGGAATGATGAAGATGCTGATGATGAAGATGCTGATGATGAAGATGCTGGTGAGGGCCTTTGTAGGTACTTTGCATTGCTATCTCTGTGAGGCCCAACAAGCTAACCAACAAGAAAAGCAGGCAGCTGTCACCCCAAAGACTGGGACCTCCATGTGTGAAGTGGCACAGATCACATCAAGCTTACACACTGCCCATAAATGCTTTGGGTCTGGGTTGGCCTGGGTGCTTCCAGGGAAAGATGCATACCTCATTCTTCTGGGTCACTACATACAGTGCACTGCAGTGCTTGGTGAATAAAAGAACAAGTGAAAGAAGGATGAGGCAAACTTGGGGAAAGGGCAGGGCAGGGATGAATGGAGGGTGGGATGAGCAGAGAGGTGAATGACCACGCTCTGTGGCTGTCCTGACCCTCACCTTGCTGAGAGGCAGTGGGATTGCGGGTGGTTTTTCCTGGGTGAATAACCTTGGGGCTCTGCCCCTCCGTGTCCTGCCCACATCATAAAACAACAAACACCTCCTAATTAGGGGCAGGTCTGAGGAGTGGGGTGACTTTGGGGCTGAGCCTTGGGAGCGTTTATAAGCTGAGACTCCAGACTCCTCAGTACCAACCTTCTCCTTCAGCTCGCTGCTCTCTGCTGCCAGCTCTCTCCCAGCGTTATGGCTTTCAGTGGCAAATTTGAGTTTGAGAGTGAGAAGAACTATGACGAGTTCATGAAGTGCCTGGGTGAGTTTCTTCGTGTTCCTCCCCTGGGGCTGGCTGCTTGAACCCAAACCTTTGGGGTAGGGTGGGATAGAATTCCATCCATCCATCCGTTCGTCTGTCTGTCCATCCGTCTGCCCGCCCACCCGTCCATCTGTCTGTCCGTCCGTCCGTCCGTCCATCCATCCACACTTTTGCAGAGCATTCTGTCCTGTCTCTAAGGATATTGAAGCTGTAAGACATTATTTGATTTTTTAAAAGGCTTAGAATCTCAGTATTTCTAGTCCCTTCTTATCTCAATTTTGAGCTTGAGGCTCAACCAAGTCGCATTAATATTCCAAGTCACATAGTTGTGATTGGAGAAGCAGAGCTTGGATCTTTAGTTATTCAAATGTTTTGTTGTTGTTACTAGAGACAGGGTCTGATGTAGCCCAAGCTGGCCTCAAAATCACTTTGTAACCGAGGACGACTTTAAAATTCTGAACTTTCTGCTTCTCTAAGTGCCGGTATTACAGGCACGTGCATGCTTATTTTATGGAGTGTTGGGGATCAAACCTGGGGCTTTGTGCATGTGAGGCAATCATTGTGTCCACTGAGACACATTCCTAGCCCTACTCAAATGTATTGAACATCTGCTACATACAAAGGTTGTCCCAATATTCTTGATGTGGCACCTCGGCATGATCTACCTAAGTCAGTGACAGAGGTCATTAACACTGAGGACCCTCTCTTGAGTGCTGTCACTATATCCTGCCAGGGAGAGATAACCAGGGAGGTAATATAGAAACCAGGTTTGACAAGAAAATCCTCAAAGTCAGTCAACAAACTTTCTTCCCTTACTGTGCTATTTTGGGTAAAGTGACAAGTTATTTATTTATTTTTTTAAGATTTATTTATTCATTATGTATATAGTGTTCTGCAGGCCAGAAGAGGACACCAGGTTGTGAGCCACCATGTGGATGCTGGGAATTGAACTCAGGATCTCTGGAATAGCAGGCGGTGCTCTTAACCGCTGAGCCATCTCTCCAGCTCGTAACCAGTTATTTTACCTTCCTCATATATACCCCCTTTTTATCTGCTTGCCCTTTAGCAATGGTCTGCTGTGAGTTCTGTTCCAGAACTTTCTGGATTTTGCAAGCCTCTGCTATATTGGTATATTATTGTTGGAAGATTTGCTATTATTATTTTTTTTAATTTATTTAACTTTATTTTATGTGCATTGGTATGAAGGTATCTGATCCCCTGGAACTGGAGTCACAGACAGTTGTGAGCTGCCATGTGGGTGCTGGGACCTGAACCTGGGTCCTCTGGAAGACCAGCCAGCGCTCCCAACCACTGAGCCATCTCTCCAGCCCCCTATTATTATTATTTTTAAACATTTAGGTTTGTTTTATGTATTTGAGTGTTTTGCTACATGTCTATGTACCACGTGTTACAGATGGTTGTAAGCAGCCATGTGGGTGCTAAGAACTGATCCCAGGTCCTTTGCAAGAACAAGTGTTCTTAACTGCTGAGCCATCTCCTCAAGATTTGTTGTTATTGAAGAACACCAAGGAGTTGTGAGGGGCTGTGCGAGACACAACCACATTGGACTCAATTCACACAACAGCTCTAAGGGTCAAACCTTACTGTCACCATTTTGTAATGGAAAACAGTAGGGCAGTAACCTGCTCAAGCCACAGGTCTCATGGCAGAGTTGGGATTTGAACCGTCTGCTATCTATGTCTCAGACACTCTGTGGGTCCTGCAGACGAGGAAAGCTGTCTCTCCAAATCAGGGTGATAAGTAGATCCTATGTGAACTCTTTGCTTGTGATGGGGCACAGGTGTTTCAGACGACGTGACTACAAAGGCACGGAACCTAAAGATCGTCACAGAGATCCAGCAGAATGGACAGGACTTCACCTGGTCCCAGTCTTACTCTGGGACCAACATCATGACCAACAAGTTCACCATTGGCAAAGAAAGTGAAATTCAGACCATGGGAGGCAAGAAGTTCAAGGTGAGAGGCCCCTGGCTGCCCTTTCCTGTCTTCACAGGCTAAAGACCAGTTTCTCCATTTCAGATAGGGCCTCTCTGCTCCTCAGGCTGAGGCTTCTGTCTATAGCTTAGCCTTTTCTGTGTGAAAAACTTTCTTGCTTGGTGTTTTTAATGCTTCTGCTGGGTAATGGCTGTCATTAGTAAGGAACCCAACACAGAGATACAAAGAGCTGATGTGTTGGTGGGGTACACGACATTAATCCAACACTCAGGCGGCAGAGACAGGAGGTTTCTCTGTGAGTTCCAGATGAGCGAAGGATACATAGAAAGATGCTGTCTCAGACAGACAACCTCAGAACTCAAACAAACGAAAATAGTCTATTTTCTGAGCATGGTGCATGCTGCAAATTACAGCACTTAGGAGGCAGAAGCAGGCTATCTCTGTGAGTTCTGAGCGAGCCAAGGCTGCCTGTGCCTAGTGAGACCTCTTCTCAAAAAGAAAAAGCTAGCTGGGGACTAGTGGCACATGCCTTTATTCCTAGTACTTGGGAGGCAGAGGCAAGCAGATCTCTGTGAGTTCGAGGCCAGTCTGATCTACAAGAGTGAGTTCCAGGACAGCCAGAAAAACCCCGTCTCAATACTGGCCCCCTCCTAAAAAAAAAGAAAGAAAAAGAAAAGAAAAAAACCTAATATTTGCTGAGTATTTAACATAATTCACTTCAGATATTTACTGAATAGTTGTTCTGTCTGTCTGTCTGTCTATCTATCTACCTACCTATCATCTATCTATCTATCTATCTATGTCTATCTATCTATCTATCTATCTATCTATCTATCTATCTATCTATCATCATCTATCTATATCTATCTATCTATCTATCTATCTATCTGCCTATCTGCCTATCTACCTATCATCTACCTACCTATCATCTATCTATCTATCTATCTATCTATCTATCTATCTATCTATCTATCATCTATCTATCTATCTATCTATCTATCTATCTATGTCTATCTATCTACCTATTATCTATCTATCTATCTATCTATCTATCTATCTATCTATCTATCTATCGTGTATGCACATATACATGTATGTATACTCAGCTGTGCATGTGTGTATGAAAACCAGAGGTTCATATTAGGATTCTATCCTCTTTAACACTCTCCACCTTACTTTTTGAAGCAGGATCTCTGGCTGAGCCTGGCCCTTTGCATTTCTGCTGGACTGGCTGGCCAGTAGCCCCTTGGGATCTGCCTGTCTCTGTTCCCCAGTAAGGGTGGTGTGCTATGGGGATGCTGCTGTAGGTACACGCTGTCATGTATGAGTGCTGAGGATCCACACTCTAGCCCCTTTACCCACTGAGTCATCTCCCCAGCTATTTTCTCCCTTCCCTTTGTTTTTGAGACCCCTGTGTGTGGTAAACAAGCACTCTGCCAACCGAATCAGTCCTACAAATATTATTTATTTTCTATTTTTTGAGACAGGGTTTGTCTGTTAATAGTCCTAGCTGTTCCGGAACTCACGCTGGCCTTGAACTCATGTAGACCCAACTGCATTTGCTGCCTTAGTGCCAGGATTAAAGGCGTGTGTCACCACCACCTGGCTCACATGCTATTTTTAAAATAACCTAAGTGATGCCTAAAGACTTGTTAGGCTGTGGTGAGAGGCTTTGTGTTCAGTGCTCTGTCTCTCTCCCAGGCTACTCTGAAGCTGGAGAACGGGAAGGTGGTGGCAGACTTCCCCAACTTTTACCAGACCTCGGAGATCGTGGGTGACAAGCTGGTGGAGGTAAGTTTGCAGAGCTTCCTATTATTTCCGTTTTATCATTTATTTATTTTTTATTTTATGTGGATTGGAGTTTTGCCTGCCTGCATGTCTGTGTGTGAGTGTCAGATCTTGGAGTTACAGATAGGTTATGAGCTGCCATGTGGGTGCTGGGAATTGCAGTCAGTGCTCTCAACAGTTAAGCCATCTCTCCAACCTCATATTATTTCTGCTTTAAAAAGGTGCTTTATGAGGCTCAGAGACAGCATGCAACCTGCCTGAGGTCACGCAGCCAGTGCCCTGTAGAGGCAGAATGTATCAGCTGACTTCTAGAGGAAGTTCTCAGCCTTTTCTCAAAGACCAGTGGGTCTCTGCCAGCCTGCCATGTTTCTTTCTCATAGAATTAAAATACATCTGATCATGGTGGTAAAGGTCTGGGATCTCTACACTCTAAAGGCCAGAGCAGGATCCTGAGTTCCAGGTCAGCCTGGACTAGAGTGAGACACTGATCCCTCAGGATGCACGTGTGTGTGTGCATGTACGCGCACGCGCGCACACACTTGCACAGCCAGGACATATATTTAATGGAAACTGCATGCCTACCTGAATGAGGTTCTAGGTTCAACCCTTGGTTGGTACCACCAAAATCAACACCATTGAACTGATACAATAAGAATTAGAAAATAGACGCAGCAGTGTTGGAACAAAGGTGAACCAAAGGGTAAATTGCTTGCTACGAAGTCTGACCGTTTAAGTTCGATTCCTGCCACCCACGTGATGGATGGAGAGAACTCCCGCAAGTTGTCTCCTCATCCCCGCGTGCAAACTGTGGCACAGGCACCCCCCCCCCATGAAAAGAATAAAATTATCATCTTCTCTGGATGAACCCTGGCCCACTGGAAGATTGAATGAGAACTCTGAGTGAAATGCCAGCCAGTGGGTCCCGACTTCCAAAGCAATGTTCCCAGGCCTGAGGTGTGCAGAAAAAGCTGAGGGTAGGACACCTGAAGCTTTGTGTCCATGAGGCTTCATCTTTACAGGCTGAATCAACCCTCAGTTTGCTCCTCTGCATAATGGGAGCAACTTCCTGGGGCTCTTGGGAACTATAGCTGGACTATTGTGAAGAGGACCTGGCATGCAATAGTTAAAAGGGTGTGTGTGTGTGTGTGTGTGTGTGTGTGTGTGTGTGACAGGATAGAGGCTGACATTCTTGCAGCCCATCACGCTTGCTCCTGGTCAGCATTTTCTCTGCAGCAGCTCCTGTTAACTGACAGGAAAATCTAAGCCCCAGAAAGCAGTGCACCTGCCTCGCATCCACCCAGGAATAGCAGTGGTGGCTGACCTTGCTTCCCCTGCACCCCACGATCACCTCAGGGTCCACCGTCTGGGGGAGTAGCACTGACTTTCTCTGTTCTGGTTGCTTCTTTCAGATCTTCACCAGTGGCGGTGTGACCTATGAGCGAATAAGCAAGAGGCTGGCTTGAGCTCCACCCCCCCACCTGGCTGGGCTCTGAGGGGCTACAACCCTGCAATAAACGTGCTTCATGACTGCCACTGCTGCTCCCAGAGTGTCTTTGTTTCTCTTTACTGGTGTCTTTGGGCAGCTCTTTCCTGAACGGGAGTAGGGAAGCGTCCAGGGATGGCGGCACTGGCCAGATGTTGGCCCTGAGATGCCTGTGGGTTCTACCACGGCCGAGGGAGGTGTGGATGTTAAATCTGGAGGGCAATGCTCCCCATCTGTGGGAGCGGCCACGGGTGGAAAAGGGAGGCACACTTCCACGAACACCTTGTAACCATCTGCCACTGTGTTGTTTTCAGACTCCTTTAAAGGCACAGTGTGGGGCTAAAGGGATGGCTCAGAGTGTTCAGCAAGCATGAAGACTTGAGGTCAATATTTAGCACCTCAGTAAAAAGCCACGCCTGGTTATGCTTAGACCTAGAACCTCAGCTCTGTGGGGAGTAGAGACTTGAGAATCTTAGGGACTTCATGGACTCCAGCCTACTTCCAGGTTCAGAGATCCCGGCTCAAGGAAGTCACACAGAGGGATGGAGCAGAACACCCAGATCTTCCTGTATACAAACACCCCACACATACCTCACACACAGATACACACATATGCACATGGACATTGTGGTGCATGTGTGACTGTCCTCTGAGCCAAGCAACCGCAATGTTGGGGAGTTCAGCTGTACTTGCTTGCAAAGGGAGAGTCCCAGCTGGGCTTGTTGACTGCTTACGGCCTTTCATGGATGGGGTAGGGAGGCTCCTAGGACCCTTGGAACCCAGCCTGTCCCTACCTGTTGCATGCAATGCTGCCTTAATTGCATATGGCTCCAGGGAGGGAATAGAGGCTCTAGGTCCTGCCTGGAAGATTAGGGAAGGGGGCTCGATCTTTGAGGCTGTGAGGAAGCCTTAATCTTTGCTAGGCAGGGCTTTCCAGGTGCAGCCTGTTGGGGAAGGAGCACCCACACTCTTGGGAGAAATCCCTCAGCTATGCTCTGTAAGGAAACCCAATAAACTCACTGCTTTACCAGCGTGCACTGTGGCTGAATGGAGCTTTGGTTTGTTCTTGGGACCTTAGGAGAAGGGGTAGATGTGCATATGTCTCCCCCCTCGGAAGGAATTTTATTAACAGGTACAGTTGTCTGAGAAGGGTGACATGATTTTCAACATGGGACAAGTCTATCCTGACTCTCGGTGGGAAGGTATGGGTGGCAATGACACGTTTAGGAAGGGCCCTGCCTACCAGGCTAGGGCAGACATGGAATCTTCAGCTCTTACCCAGGGAAGTCATTTCAGTTTGACTGTGAAACTGCTGTCCTGTGGTCTCAGTGCATCCACTGGTACAAAAGGGACTGCAAGGATCAAGAAGGGCTGGGGGGGGGGGGGAGACAGTGGTTTATGATATGGCAGAGGCTCACAGATGTGGCAAGAGAGACTTCCCCAGATGTCCTTGACCAGAGGAACCTGGTGTCTGGGAGGAAGTGCTTGGAAGTGTGGGTAGGAGGCTGTTCACTCCATGGTTTGAGCCATGGGTTGAGGATTCTGAAGCAGCTGGTTTGTGACCACATGGGAAACGGAATCTGTCCGGGTATGGAGCAGAACAGGCAGCCTGCTGGTCCCCACATGCAGATGGGCCCGTTTCCATCTTCTCCTCTCCTGTGGAGTGCTGGCCATGTCTGGGTATTCACTGGACTTCTCCCCCTCCCCATAGTTTTTGCTTTGTTTTGTATGAAGTGTCATTTATTTTTATTGTGATGGAAACTTGAGATCACCTCCCCCTGCGGAAACTCTAGCTCTTTTGCCATTGGCAAAGCAAACTGTCAAAAGGCCAAAGATGAGTGACGTTGACTTGCAAGCAGGATTGTTACCCCAGCCCTGAGCTACTGCCTCGGTTTGTGAAAAGGGACACACACACACACACACACACACACACACACACACACAGAGAGAGAGAGAGAGAGAGAGAGAGAGAGAGAGACAGAGAGAGAGAGAGAGAGAGAGAGAGAGAGAGAGCGCCACATTAGTACCCATTGGAATGCTTGCTCCTAACACAGTGAAATGATGCAAACCTTGGAAAAGGACATGTTCCTCCATAGAAGTTGAATTTTTAGCCAGGATGACATTTCTGTCATCCCAGCTACTTAGGAAGCTGAGGCAGGAGGACCATAAGTATAAGGACTATATAGATCAGGGGTCCTCACCCTTCTTAATGCTGTCACCCTTTAATACCGCTCCTTGTGTGGTGACCAACAAACACAGTTATTTCATTGCTACTTTATAACTATACTGTTATGAATCGTAATGTAAATAGCTGATATGCAACCCCAAAGGGGTCACGACCCACAGGTTGAGAATCACTGACCACTAAGCAAGTGTGAAATCAGCTGGAACTAGAAAGAGTTCAAGGCTAGCCTGGACAACTTAGTGCGAGCCTATCTAAGAAATAAGACAAGTACAAAGAGGACTGAGAATGGAGCCCAGAGCCAGAGAATTGGCTCAACATGTTCGAGGCCCTGGGTTCGATCCTCAACACTGAAAAAAGAAAGCTGAATTATCAAAGGCAGGTGCACTAAGATTATCTTGGATATACAAATTCTGCAAGGAAGATGCCTTTAATCCCAGCTCTGAGAAGAAGAGGTAGGCCTATCTCTGGGACTTTGAGGCCAGACTGGTCTACATACAGAACAGACTTCATGCCATCCAAGGGTACATAATGAAACCCTGCCTCAAAAAAAAATTTTTTTTTTAACCTTGCAGCTGTGTAGCAGCTGGCTTGAAGCACAGGTGCTTACTAAGTGGTCCTTATGGCGCTTCCCCCTTGATGTAATCTCCAGTCTTGCTTTCGAGGCTTCTTTGTCCTCAACAGAGGTTCCATCTAGTTCACTGATAGCGTCCTCTGTCACTTTCCTTGCTCTATCTTTTCAAGAGCAGCGCGCAGTCTCCTACCTACCTAGGCAGCAGCCAGGACCCCACAAACTCCACCGTTTTGCCAAACTTACTGCTAATTAAGTAAACCAGGTGAGCATTAAATTGAAGGAGCAGCATCGCTGTTTCCCTTCCAGACTGAATAATGACTCACAGTGGGCTTGGATAATAAGTTGCTGAATAACAGAGTTAACCATAATTAGGCTGAAAATTGTAAGAGGGAGAGAGAGGAAGAAAGGAGAGAGAGCTGAGGAAGGAATGAAGGAGATGGGGGGAGAGGGACAGAGGAGGAGAGGAAGGTAGGGGAGAGTTCATCACCGTGATTATTCTAAAATAAATTCAAGGGTTGGAGAGATGGCTGTTCCGAAAGCATGAGGTCCTGTGTTCAGATCCCCAGAACCCAAAAGCCAGAGGCGTAGGCCAGTGACCTCTGTGTTAGGTGGGTAGAGATAAGCAGATCCCTGAAGTTCAGTGGCTAGCTAACACATACAGTCATCTGGAAGTTTCATGGCTACCTTACATATAATCCGTGGCTTTAGCATCAGGGAGAGACTCTATGTTAAAAATAGAGTGGTGGCACAAGCCATTAATCCCGCACTCAGGAGGCAGAGGCAGGTGATCTCTCTGAGCTCGAGGAGGTTGGTCTACAGAGCTAGTTCCAGGACAGCTAGGGCAGTTACACAGAGAAACCCCGTGAAGAAAACAAAACAAAATAAACAAACAGAAACAGAAAAAAGGGAAATTAACTAGATCCAAAGACTATACAACTTAATAAATTTATATAGTTAAAATTCACATTCAATTTTATTTATTTATTGGTTTTTCGAGACAGGATTAGTCTGTACACTCTACACCGTGCATGCTGGTATGTCAGCACCACCAGCACACACTACCTGAAACACAGCAGCTCAGATTCCAGACTACTTCATGTTTAGATTACAGTGTTTGTTCTGTACCTAAAAAGCTTTTTGCACCTTTTTTTTTTTTTGAGACAAGGTTTCTCTGTGTAACGCTGACTGTCCGGCTCTGTAGACCAGGCTAGCCTCGAACTCAGAGATCTGCCTGCCTCTGCCTCCCGAGTGTGGGGATTAAAGACTTGGGTCACCAACACTGCCAGGCAAGTTTTCTTATTCATATACAAACATAATGGTTCAGTTATGAAAAGCAAAAGTACGCAATGTATTTGTCCCAGCACATGAGAGGCAGAGGCAGGGGGATCTCTGTGAATTTGAGGGTAGCTTGGTCTACAATGTGAGTTCCAGGACAGTCAAGGCTGTTACACAGAGAAATCCTGTCACAAAAAAAAGAAAAGAAAGAGAAAAAGAAAGTAAAAATGGTGTTTGTTGATTGATCGTGACAAGGTATCTAGCCCAGGCTTTTCTCAAACTCACTATATATCTATCAAAGATGCCATTATGTTCTAAAGTATAAAACATTCAGTCAAAATTTTAACTCTTTATGTAAAAATTCTGTAAGACCTATCTTATCAGTATGCAAATTTGTTTTAATAAGTGATAATTTATATGTACCAAAGAGCTGTATTTAAAATGAATATGATTTATTATCATAAATGTCTTATTTATATACCTATTCTATACCTCTATATGTCTGGGTCTTATGAAAAACTTCTTGGGTGAGCAACAAGTGGGAAAGTTCCTGAAAGCTCTGGCTTAGGGCGCCAGCGTTACTCCAAGTAGACAAATAGGCAAGCGCATTTCAGGTGGTTTGAAGCAAATACAGGAGTAAGGAGAGTGCCCAAAGCTACTGCGGGGTCCCATTTGCAACATAAGTAAGCCAAGACCTCAAGTGGCTTCTCAACTCCAGAATACAGCAATTTGCAGTTTGTCCTGGGGTGGGGATGGGGGTAGGGGTTGCCTTCTACTTGAGGTATGTTCACCAGCACCCCTAATCTCTACCCACTAGTTACCCAGAGCAGATGCCCTCGGTTATAGGAACAAACTGTATTTCTTGATTGTTACTAAGTGTTCTCTTGGCTGCAATTCGCTGGTACAATGGGCAAGGAGCCCATCTCGCAGGGATGAAGTGTGAGCAGTCTAGATGAGAGCGGTCAAACAGTGTTGTAGTCACGGACCAGGCTTTGATAGCAGGAGCCTAGAAGGAAGCAGGTTCTCATCAGAAGCAGAGTCTGGCTGTGTACACCCTTTACACAGCTCAGTTCAAAAAATACTGGCGAGAGCCAAGGAGGGTTTTATGGTCTATTTTCTGAGGCCTCCACTCACCGGCCTCCTGAGGACTGGATTAAAGGTATGTACGACAGAGAAGCTGAGAGCTCACAGGGTCCAGATGTGGGTTCTCCTCTGCCTTGCACAGTCAATCTTTCCTTGGATCTCTGAAGAATTCTCACATCTGTATTATGAGGAAGTTGACTAAACAGGTTGATTCTGAGCTGGGCGGAGGTGGCGCACACCTTTAATCCCAGCACTCTGGAGGCAGAGACAAAAGGATCTCTGTGAGTTTGAGGCCAGCCTGGTCTACAGAGCGAATTAGTTGCAGGACAGGCAGGGCTACACACAGAAAAACGTGTCTCAAAACAAACAAACAAACAAACAAACAAAAGGCTCTGCGCCTCATTCCAATTAGAGAAGCCTCCTGGCCATTCTGCAGCTTCCTTGGGTGTGAACTGCCGCACTCACCCACTCAACAGCCCCAGGAGAGCCTTTCAGGCCATCTCTGTCCTTTGTGTTTGTTGTTTTTTGTGGACACACAGGGTCCTGCTAAGTAGCCCTGACACCCATTTTGTAGATTAGGCTGGCATCAAACCCAGAGATGAGTCTATCTGCTGGGATTAAAGGTGTGTGTGTGTCTCACCATGCCCAGCAGTGTTTGCTTCTTAGCCTTTTTTAGTCGTGATCTAGTATGGCAACAAAGTCTTAAACAGAATACCATGTCTGTGTGATCCCTCTAGTTGAAGGCTGGGGCCGTGACTCTGTGGCTCAGCTTTGCCTGGGGCTCATACCAGGCCAAAAGTTCAGTGGTCTCCATGGTAACGGATGGGGAATAGAGCCACAGGAAAGGGCATGTCCAAACTGAATCCATTGCTCTTTGTAAACTCAGTTTATTTTTATCAGAATCCCCCGAATCTAGAGTCCCGTGCCCAATGAGCCTTGAGTACAGGGGGCTGAGTGTGCCAGTTCTCTACCAACAGACACAGTCCCCACATACCCTTCACGCCTTAAAATGTCACCTAGCAATGTACCTGTCACCTCAGGTACTGGGCGAATACCCCTGAGCCCCACAGGACAACAGCTCTCATAATGGTTTCCTGGAGGGAGATCAGGGGCCGAGAAGAGTGGACTGACATTCTCCATCACAGTAGAGGCTGGAGTCCATAGTTCTAGCCCACACATTGTGGTTTTGAATTAGGGTCAGGCTGGCTCTCAAAATCATAAGCCTCCTGCCTTAGCCCACTGAGTGCTAGGATTATAAACACAGATCACCAAGGCTGGCTTGCTTTTTTTTTTTAAATCATTTTTTTTTCAACTTTTTGTGTAGGATGTGTGTGTTCCTGTGAGTATACCCATGCTATGGCACGTATGAAGTTCAGGCGACAACCTTCAGTATTGGTCCTTGCTTGAGACCAGGTCTCTTTATTTTTATTTTATGTGTATTGGTGTTTTGCCTGCATGCATGTCTGTGCGAGGGTGTCAGATTCTGAAGTTATAGGCAGTTGTGAGCTGCTGTGTGGGTATTGGGAATCTGCAGAGTCTCGTCTCCAACTCCCATCTTGCAGCGTAAGGGCTGGGACTGCAGACATACACGGCTGTACCTGGCACACAAAGACATGTGTTCTGGAGACCTGACCTCAGGTCTTCACCCTTGTACGGCAAGCACCTTACTCACTTGTATCCTGTTTTCCCTTCTTCTCTCTCTGCCTTTTCCACCTTCTGTGTTGCTGGGGCTACGACCAGATCTCTGGGTATGCTAGACAAGTACTCTTAAACAGTACTCAGCTCTGCCACCGACCTTCATTCCCAGCCCTTGGTAGGTGTCTTAGCCAGGCAGTGTCCTTCTGCATGTGCCTTTGCAACTCGAGAGGCCAAGATGGGAAGGTCAGCTGAACCCAGGTGTTCAAGTCCAGCCTGGGGAACATAGTCTGCTATTATTGCAACCAAAATGCCTTTATTGTTACAATAACAGCTTGTCTTATGTTTTTTTGTTTGTTTTGCAAGACTGGGTTTCTCTAGCTTTGGAGCCTGTCCTGGAACTTGCTCTGTAGACCAGGCTGACCTCAAACTCACAGAGATCTGCCTGTCTCCCAAGTGCTGGGACTAAAGGCGTGTAACATCATTGCCCAGCTTTGTCTTATGTTTGAGGAACTGTATAATAACCACCTCTTATTTGGAGATACTGACTTTGACGTACATTATATTGTTGACCATGAGACCCCAACAGGCAAGTGCTGTCACCACACCCATTTTAGTAGGGAAGAAGACAGCTTGCGAGGGGCTGACCAATTTGTCTCTCAACAGCAACGGACCATAGTTATTTATATAGGCTAACCCTGTGAAGCTACGGTGCCCAGTTATTTGATAACAAAACAAAACTTAGTCTAGGGGTTGCTGTGAAGATTTTTTTTCTCCAGGTGAGATTATTTCTTAAAATGTGTGACTTCAAGAACAGCAGGCGAGTCCCTTTCAACCAGGGAAAGGCCTTAAGAGCAAAGATTCAAGTTTCCCCAGGAAGGGAATTTTTGCCTCCAGGCTACAATAAAGAACACCAGCAGGTTTCTGGTTTGCTGGCCCACCCTGCAAAGTTTAGACTTCACTTGCATCAGCATCTTCAACCTGCTGGCAGGCGCTCTAAAAATTCTGGGTTTGCCAGCTTCCATGGTTGTGTGACTCTTATGATTGCTTTGCCACTAGACAGACAGTGATGGTTGATGCAGGAGTAGAGTTGGAAGGTCAAGCTTCACATACTCCTGTGGTGGAATATTGTTTTAAGATGTGTGACATTTCTTTATGCTGTAGAACATTTGTCTCAATGATGCAAAGATGGTGTTGCATTCTTTTATGTTGCATTTGTTACTCTGCCTATCTAAGACACCTGATTGGTCTAATAAAGAGCTGAATGACCAATAGCAAGTCAGGAGAAAGGATGGGTGGGGCTGGCAGGCAGAAAAAAATAACTCGAAGGAGAAAAAGAGAAAAAGGGATATTTAGGAGGGCTCCAGGGGTCAGCCACTCAGCTACACAGCAAGCCATGGAGTCAGAAGGAAAGAAAGGGATGCAGAAACAGAGAAAAAGGAAGAGTCTAGGGGCCAAAGGTAGATGGAGTAATTTAAGGTAAGAAAAGCTGGAAAGGAACAAGCCAAGCTAAGGCCAGGCATTTATAAGACCAAATAAGCCTCCACGTATGTGTGTGTGTGTGTGTATGCGCACTCCCCCCCCCAAAAAAAAGAGTAAAGAGTTAAAACAAGCAACAACATACTCCTCTGCCTAGGGAAGCCCAGCTCCTACTTAGAGGGAACAGCTCAGGTCCAGAGCAGCTGGTCCTGTGCTGATGGCGCCAATATTGTAAAATGTTCCTCACAGGCTCCCTTATTTGAACACGTGGTCCTCCGCGGGTGGCATTGTTTTGGGAGTCTGTGGAATCTTTTGGAGTTGGGACCTAGCTAGAAAAGTAGATCTCTAGGGACCCAGCTTTAATGTTGATAGCTCGGCTTTTCTTCCTGCCCCATCTCTGCTCCTGGTCCACAGAGTTGGGAGCAAACACCCTCCTAATCCTGCTATGGCTGTCACAGCTGTTCTTGCCCACTATGGCTTCCTGGCCACAGTAGACTGCACTCTCAAACCATGAGCTGAAATAAACATTTTCTCCTTTAGGTTGTTCTATCAGGTCACAGCAAGGAGAAAACTCATAAACCCCTTGATCTCTTTCACACCCCTTCGGGAGGAGACTCTTGCAGAGGTGGACCTGAGAGAGGAGGGGAAGAGCTGGCCTGCAGCGAGATGTCCAGACAAAGAAGGAAGAGACCAAAAGCAGGTGATGTGTTTATCTTTATTGCAGGACGCCTGGTCCTGGGAATCAGGTTAGCTCTGGGGCCCCAGCCTAGAAACAGACAGATACAATAACTTGGACTCCAAACTAGTTGCACATAAATACAAAGAGGCTGGGAAAGGGGGTGGAGGGGTGGGAGCCAAAAACACAAAAAATAACAAACAAATGTGCAGGTTCCTATGCTCACTGACAAAATGGCAGCGCCTCATCTTCATCCAGCTCTCTCCTTATTCTGCTTCCATGAGACATTCATCTGTTTAGAAAAGTTCTATCACTGTGGAATCCGACTCAGCAGCACATGGCCGCCTTCCTGGCAGTCCCTGCCTTGGTCTCTTAGATTGGCAAATGAGTCAAAGAGAACCAAGAAGGGAGGCAGGGTGTGGTGGGAGGGAGGCTGAAGCAGGAGGATCAGGAGCTCAAGGTCAGCCTCCGGCTACATACTAAGTTTGAGGCTAGCCTTAGCTACACTAGACCTGTTGTAAAATAAAAGCCCCCCCCCCCAAAAAAAAAGAATAAGAAAAGAAAAACAAAATAAAGACACAATCTTTTCAAAAACAAAACTAAAATTTGTTCCTGCGGTCTTTTGCACCCTCCCAATTCTGATGGGTGAACAGCATGTCCCCTGACAAAAAAAAAAAAACCCACAAGAACATCCTAAGCACAAGCTATGAGTCAGAGTCATTAACATATTGCACATGGTGACAGTCTTCTTGAGCCCTCCAACTGCAGATCCCCACACACTGGCTTTTGCTCCAGCAATCCCTGGCCTGTCAACGCTAGCGTCCTATCCCATGGTCATCCCCTACTTTTCAAATATCCCTCAGTATCATTACCTTTTACTACTGACCACACTCAGAGCTGGGGTTGGTTTCACCTTAGCACTACAAGCATGGAGGGAAGTGAGGACTAGTTCAAACCTTTGTCTTCCTTTCAACAACATTCCCCCACTAGGGGGCAGTGATCTGAGTCCAAGTGGGCGGGGGGTGGGTGGAGGGAACCCTAGCAGGCCAAGGGTGGACTCTTCAGAGCTGAGAGCCTGGGAGGTGTGTCCCCCCCACACGCGCTGTGGTTACACACCGGTTTGCTCACAAGCTGGGTTAGGAAAAGACACAGCCTCAACGCGGGACAGACAGTGCGGCAATTCAAACGTTTTCCTCTTACGGAATTTTCAAGTATCCCAGAATCCCTGACACAGTATGTAAACAAGGTGGTTCTACAGGAGAGAAAGCTGGATTGTTCTGGGAAGCAGCAGCACGTGAAACATCTAGAAGGGCGAAAAAGGTTTGAGGTTCAAAAAAAGAAAGGGCAAGATAGCCGCTGTACCTCCTGGGGCCAGTGCTCGGTCATAAACACAGACAACTGTGCCCTTGGTGTGGAGCTAAGGAGAGAAAAACACTCGGGACGGATCTTCTAGAGACACAGAGGATATATATCCCAAGTGCCAACTCTTTTTTCTTTCTTTTTCTTTTTGATTTTTTTTTTCCTGACAGTGTTTCTCTATTTAACCTTGGCTGTCCTGGAACTTGCTCTGTAGAGCAATCTGGCCTTGAACTCACAGGGATCCGCCTGCTTTTGCCTCCCGAGTGCTGGGATTAAAGGCGTGCGCCACCACTGCCCGGCTGCCCCTTCGTTTCTCAGTGGTTTAGCTGTGACGAGTAGTCTTAGAAAAGCCCGGATGTGCTACAGATCTCTATGCAGTCCGCAATGTCCAAGCCTCTTACCAAGTCTGATGTGCTCCACTGGCTCCCCCAGCTCAAGGGAATGGCCACAGAGCCACGTCTTTGTCCTTCAGCCACACATGGAAGAGGTTTTTTTCCCAGAGAGACGCTGTTGGGTGAGGTATGTCCCTGGATGTTTGGCTCTGGGTTGTTCTTTTTTTTTTTTTTCAAAGCACATAAACCCTCACTATTGAAGGGTACTAGGTTCTTTGCCTCACTTGACTGAGCTCTCCCTCTTAGGTGTCCACTTCCTCGATCCGGGTCTTCCAGGATTCTCCGTGTGGTCCAAATGTAGCCTAGCTGTCAAAACAACCTGTGGGGAACATATGGCTCCCACTGAAGTAGCTGCTTCCATAGGTGGCAGAAAGACAGTGCCTGGGTTCAGCTGCAATGGCCATCTGCATGCTTAGGGATGCAGGCACAGGCACAGGACACATATCCAAGGCTTGGAGGGTTGAGTATGGGGTGTGGAGGGATGGACCAGTGTCTCCTGAGAGCAGGGTTCCTGAGCGGTGGGCCTGTAATGAGTCCCGATAAGCCAAACACAAGTCCTGTGCTGGACTCTGGAACTGGGCTAGCGTTGGCGGCGGTTGGCTGAGCGTAGGGTAGGTGGGCGGTTGGAACAGCACTTGGGTGGCAGCTGGTGATGTGCCCGGCACCATGGCCAATGCCTGGCTCTTGACAGCAACAGCATCCTTGAGAACATTGTCATAGGCTCTGAAAGGAAAAGACTCAGGTGAGCCCTGGAGAGCAAAGGTCACCAGACAACTGCTTATCTTCCTTGGTGAGTGGGACGGGGGAGAATGGTGCACCATGCTATACCAGTCTGTGATGGCAAGCTATGACACAGCCTCACTGGCTTAGCAACTAGAGTCCAGATCTCAGCTTAGAGCTGCTTCTGTCACACAACATCTCTGACCCTGTGCAAGATCAGCCAGATTTGTCCCTGAAGCCCTTGCACCAACACATCTGGGCTATTAAAACCTCAGAGGGTAATGTGGATCCCATCTGCTTCAGTTCACTCCTGCATCCCAGCACTTGGGAGAGTACCAGCTCTACTTTCTGGGTTCTTCTGGGCCAGTTCCATCCCCAGCTGGGTGAATCCTTAGCTTGTAGACAGCAAGCAAACGTTTGAAAAGAGGGGACACAGTGGGTATTTTCTGCTATTTTCTCCCCATCTCAAAATGCTTTGAGAAGTAAAAACAATTAGAGGTGCATAGAAGAAAGGAGCCTATGGTATCTACGACTTATTTGAGCAAGGATTTCCCAGGGTAACAGCTAGTAAGGACAAACAGCTGGCCTGGTGAGTGATACTGCCATCAATTGTCAAAACAGGCTGGGTTCTGACTTGGGGAAACCTTTTTTCTTTGGCTTTTTGAGACACCGTTTTTTCTGTGTCACCTTGGCTGTCCTGGAACTCACTCTGTAGACCAGGCTTGCCTTGAACTCATAGAGATCTACCTGCCTCTGCCTCCCCAGTGCTGAGATTAAAGGCATGTGCTACTACCTCCAAGTTTGACTTGGGAACTTCTAAAAGCACACAATTCAAGAGACGGCTTAGGGAGCCGGGCTAATGTTTCAGGTAGCTCAGCAGAGCTGCTCGCAAGGGGAAGCTGAGAGCTGTGTCTCTTCAGGGGCTGAAAGACTTCTGCTTCTGCCCACCCAGACTCCGGATCTATTAGGCCAGCATACAGAGGTTATTACTATCAGCTGGCGGAAGAGGGCGTTGACTAGAGGTAGCCACTTAAGGGCTGTTCTGTACTCTTTGGCTCCCATATCTATGTCACAGTGGTAGATTCTAAGCGATCAGCTTTGTAGCTTGCTGAGAAAAGGAACTCATGAGAGAATGAATTCACGATCTTTCACAAACTCTCGCTGGGAATCAGGTCAATTAGCCCCAACAGGATGGAGTTCAGTTGATAAGAGTATTGCCTAGCATGCATAAAGCTGAGTTTGACCCCTGGCACTAACTAAACTGGCACACACACCTGTAATGCCAGCAGCACTCAGGAGCAGGGGGCAAGGTGTTCAAGGATACCCCACTAGCTACATAAAGAGACTGAGGTTAGCCTAGGCTACACGATACCCTGTCTCAATAACAAACAAAATGATAGAATGAGTCCAGACATAGGAGAGCAGGCGTCCCCGTCCCACTCCTCTTTCCCCTCACTCCCCGATCTTAAAAATACAATGAAAATAGGCAATTCTCTAAGTCCTACGTCTTAGTTTTTTTGAGACAGAGTCTCACTATTTATCCTAGACTGGCCTCCAGCTTTTAATCCCCTGCTTCAGCTTCCCAAGTGTTAGGATTACAGCTGCATCCCACCACACCCCACTTTCCAAAATACCAATTCTGTAAGGGGCTCTCTGCTTCTTGTACACCTTATCTGGGGAACCAGTATCTGTCCCAGACTCAGGAACATCCCCCTCAGCCGGGGTGGTGTCCCAAGGGCAAATAGGTCATCATTTCAGAAACTCAGACAACCAAGACTTACACCAGCAGGATTTCAATACACGTGCTAAGATGCTCCAGGGAGTAGCTTGAGACCCTCTGCAAGTCTCTGGTCCAGTAGGGAGAGAGCTGAAGGCAGATCCTGGAGGCTCCAACACAGGCTGCGGCGACCACAGAAGGCTGGAATTTGTAAAAGATATGATCTGAAAGAGAATTGCGGAGGGCGTGAGTACTGGAAAGCGTCTCCATGGCGTCTCCTGCTCGGTCTGCCCAACAGCAGACAAACCAGTCAAGGGCTTATGCAACGCTGGCATTTTACAAATGGGGTGAGAGGAGACCAGTGTTGGGTCTTCGGTCTGGGCGTTCAGTCTGTGGTTTCTGGCATCAGCCTAGAGGGACAATTCTTTAAAACGGTGTCTACAGCTCCCAGCGAGATGCAGGTGTCTGCTGATGGGCTACGAACAGAACCACAAAGATCTTTATTCTCTTTCTTGGTTATTACGAATAGGCAGAGCCTGCCTAAAGGCTGTGTGCATAGCAGTAATGTCTGGTCCTCAGCAGGCACTGAAAAGCGGATGAAAAACAAACAAATGGCTGTATGAGTTTGATACTCATAACTCTGTCTAGGCTTATGAAGTAACATTAAAATTTAAATCACATTTGCTTATGTACTGTGTAGGCACATGAGGTGTCCGACATTTGGACATGTGGAGGTCAGAGGACAAATGGCTGGAGTTAATTCTTTCCTCGCACCAAGTGGGATTCGGGATTCAGGAAGTGGGAGCTGGGGACCAAACAGCTCCATCGTCCCACTGAGCAATCTCACAAGCACAAGAAAGTTTACATTCTATCAACACATCTGAAGTTCTGGTGAATGGATATAGTGGACATATCTACACTTTTCACTGATATTTGGGGTCCAGTGCATCACTATCTGTTATCAATTGCTTATAACTTTCAAACACTACAAGTTTTGCCTTTGAAAGCATCAATCAATCGGTTAGAGTGGTATAATTGTAAGTAGGAGTCACTGAGTCAGACTTAAATGCCATCAGGGGACTCGAGGAACTGATCTCACTTCTTGAGTATATATCACCTCATACATAAAATGGGAATAAACGAAACTACTTTGAAAGGGGTTTCAAAGTAACTTGGGGGTGAAAGGGTTTATTTGACTTATATATCCTGTCCACTGAAGGAAGCCAAGACAGGAATTCAAACAAGGTAGGAATCTGGAGGCAGGAGACGGATGGAGAGGCCATGGAGACCTGCTGCTTGCTGGCTTGCTCCCCGTGGCATGCTCAGCCTGCTTTTTTATAGAGCCCATAACCAGGGGATTACAGGCGTGTGTGTTACCACGCTGGCTTTCTTTGTGGGTTCTTCACCTTGAATTCCAAACTCCTCATGCTTTACAGCGAGCACATTACCAACTGAGCTACCTTCCCAGCCCCCAAACAAGCCAACTTGCTGCTAACACAGATGTAAACATTGTCACTCTCCCCGCACCCTATTTAATCTGTGTGATGACAGCCCTTTGGGAATGAGCTACTTGTGAGTCAGTGTGATTTAAATCACCTGAAAGGTTCTAGGTTCTCATAAGAAGTGTCCCCGGTGAGTTGCTAGTGTCTAGGTACTAGTGGCTTTTGTGCAAGCTGCTATTTTGTTTATGTGCTATTCTGGAACACTGGGGATGTCCTTGCATTTCTCTGCAAAGTGGGAGTGATGTGTTAAGTCTGGAGCATAGCCCCAGCCCCTGGCATCCATCCCAGCCCCCCTGGCCTGGGAGTTGCATTGGTCTGGACTCCAAATCCCAGCATGCCAGGTCCTGACCCCTCCCTGGGGGTAGGGTCGGGACCACTCCCACAGGGTATTTAAGTGGGCTCCCAGAGGAGAAATACGTGGTTCAGGGTTTGCATGTGCTCCCCACTTTCCTGTCTCCCCGCCATGTACTCGACCACCCGAGAGCACCGTATTTAATAAAACAATGGGCATTTTAATTTGGTTTGATTTGACCTAATTGGATTTCTTTGCGCTGGCGGAGCCTCCTGCCTTAGGATTTTTTTCCCCTAACAATATGGGTGTGGGGGCTCTAGGCAGGAAAGAAGATCCTCTCTGGATGACACCCCTCTTCAGCCATCTGATCCCAGCCCCTGTGCGCCTCCCTCACCCCACTGCCTCTGTGCCCTCACCTTGCAGGGTAACTTCCAGGAAGTAGTGGGCGTACTCCTTGAGGCACTCTTTGGTCTTTCGGAGGCAGGTGGTGGGCCAGGTGTGGCAGTGGTGGTCCTTCTGGCTGACCGAGGCCAAGAGGTAGTAGTCCAGAAAGTGGGCAGGCGTGGGCAGGCAGAGGTCCCAGCTGAAAGCCTCCAGGAGCAGAAGTTCCGTGGACAGCAGCTCTTTCTTGGTGAGGGAAAAGTTTTGGCTGCTCAGGATCCTCGTACTGTTTATCTGCTCCAATTTGGGCACGCGGTCTTCCCTGTCCTCAAACTTACCTGTGGGGAGGCAGAAGCGGAATTTACTAGAAGCTGAACCAGGGATGATAAATTCTCCCCTGTGGTATCTGGATGGAGTTAACAAGAGTGACAGAAAGCAGCAGGTAGGAGGGACTGCCCAGGAATAAAAGGACACCTTTGGACCACGAATCTCCACACCATCACTTCCTGCTAGGTGATGATGATGAGGTGTCTCAATCTCTCTGTGGCCCCAACTGCAAGGGGACCTGACGGCTTAGTACAGCTTTTGTTTGAGTCCGTGAGGAAATGCACACTAAAGCTCAGACAGGTGCCTAGAACATTGAAGGCACCAGAATGCGGTCATGAGCAGCCTTTAGGTTCTAGGGGCGAGGTTTGTCTGTCTGGCCCTCATCAATTCAGGCAGAGCCGTAATGGCCTCAAGTCTGACCCCATCCTTCCAGGTGCAGAAGAGCCTGTCCACAGCTTTCCACTTCCTCGGTGGGCCTCATATTCTCGCCGGAGTAGTTTTAGTTTGGGATGTGTTGGACACTGGTTGCTTGGAAGGTGAGCTCAGAAAAGACCGGCAAATTGAGGGAGGAAAGAGGAAAAGGAAGAAAGCCCCAAAGGAATTCTTAGGAGGTGCTGCCGTGGACAGATGGAGCCTAACCATATACTAAGGGGTTCTGGAAAATGGTTAAAAATACAGGCTTTAAGGCCTTGGGTTATAACTCAATAGCCAGAAACAGGGGAGCTTCTCCTGCACTGAGAGTCGACATCAGAAGCTACTGGGAGACATGATAGGCCCACTTTGTGAGACTCAGCTCTCCTTTCTGGGGATACCACTCCACATCTGGCAGTGAACCCCACCACTGGCAGTTCCTTGAAAGCACTATGTCTCCCGGTCTTGTCTGCATGGCACTGTAGCCTGGAATACCCATCTTTATTCCCTCTTCACTCGGCCAAGCTCGCTGTCTTTCACGCCCCTTCTGAGTTACTGCCTTGGGTAAGCCTTCCCCAGCTGAGCCCCTTGGGAGTCAGCCTTGACCTGTCTGTCACCTGTGATCTCTGGATAGCCCCACAGCGCGTAGAACGGCTGGGAAGGGCACAGATACCTTTGTGTACCTGCCCACGGCTGTGGTAATTGACTCTCTGATGCACTTAGTCACCAGCTTCTTCATCTCTCAGGAAAGGTAAGAAGTACCCACCCGAGGCTGCTCTGAGGAACACACCCATCCTAAATGCAAGGATGCCTCCGCTAAGTGAAATGAAACCGTGGGCAGGCCAGGAGCCAGCAACAGCCTTTCAAGAGGGCGGGGAAGGGTGGATGTGCAGAGAGGGCAAGTGGATTACCACAGGGAGAAAACAGAGACCACTCTGGTCAAGTGCAATCTCTTCCCAGTGTGTGGCTGTAATGGTGCTGCCTGCAGAGTGTGCACCCCCACTGAGGCAGGTGAGCGCAAACGGAAACTGTCCAAGGGGAGGAGCTTCTTCTCCAGCTGCAACCTGGGCCCGCTGCTGTCGGCAGCCTCTCATCCAGGCCTTCCTCCTCATCAGCAGGACGCAATCCCATGATCCTCCCCAGTGGAGTGCTCTTTAATGCTCCTGTGTCCTTCAAAGCTTAGTTGAAAGGCCCTGTTAACAGGAATCACCACCACCAGATTCTAAGACCTCCTGTAGGCAGACTAATGGTTGTTCTCTCTAGCCCCTGGAATCTAATGCTGTTTGTACTTTCTCGTGGGAGTTTAGCGTTCCTATTTTTTTCTCTAATGACCCTATGTTTATTTAATTTTTTTCAGATTTTAAATTTCCTCTTAAACAATATTTTTTATTAATCTTTTCATTTTTTTTTTGTTTGTTTTGTAGGGTCTTATGTAGCTGTGGCTGGCCTCGAACTCACAGAGAACCACTTGGTCCTGCCTCATCCTACGTGATGGGATTAAAGGCGTGCACAATCATATTTTGCTTTTTAGCAATTTTAATTGTGTGTCTGTCTGTCTGTCTGTCTGTCTCTATGAATATGAATGCAGGTGCTGTCAGGATCCGAAAGGTATCAGATCCCCTGGCGCTGCAGTTAAAGATGGTTGTGGGTTCTGGGAGCCAGTCTTCTGCAAGAACAACACATGCTCTTAATCACTGAAACAGCCCCTAACCCCCTTTTAAGATAAGTCTATCCAGTAACTATAAAAAGTGCATAAAGCAAGATCATATAGTTTAATAATCATTTAAAAGCAGCAACTCCCCTGCCCCGCCCCAAGTTGATGCTTTCCTGAACCTTATATAAGAACTAACCTAATCTTGGTCATGTAAACTAAACAGATATGATGCTCCCCTGGCCTCAGTTTGGTGCTAGCGACTGAGTTCTCGCCCTCCCACATAAAAGGGAAGTGCTCTACCACCAAGCAACACCCTCATCACCATGAGTTTGGTTTTTTTTAATTGGGGGTGGGAAGGACAGGCAGGGAGAAGCATAAAGTGGCAGGGTACCTAGCCCAGGCAGAACTGTACACTGAGGGTGGCCCCAAGACCCTGGAGCAGCATTGCTGGTGGCCAGTCATCTATCTGGAGGCACCAGCTGATGTGTTCATTCAGATTAGTTTCCTCTGCCCCTCCCTGCTTTTAAACCTTTCAGAACCTTGCTATCAAACCTCAGAGGATTAACCCTCAAAGGAGGGGTCATGGCTTGCGGAGAAGGGATCTCACTTTCCTGGCTCCCTCTACTCCCCAGACAAGCAGGGAAGGTCTCTTGGGGACCCTCCACACTGCGGGGCTACAGTTAGGCAGGGTTGGGCCTGCATCCTCAATGAGTTTGCTCTGGTGCTAGCAGCATGAAACCCTCCAGGCTGTTCTTTTGTTTATGAAGAGGAAAGAGAATGATCCCGCAGAATGAAAAGTGCTTCTCTTGCGCCCAGGACACAGAAGGCACTGTGCCTCACTGTGCTGAGTCCTCAAAGGAACCCTAAGCATCCCCAGGGCTCAAAAAGACAAAAAGATGATGAGAGCTTTATCCCCAGAAGTAGCTGCAGAGTCCCTGCTTCTTTCTGTTGGCCACAATGACTTCATAGCACACACATTGTTTCCCAACACACACACACACACACACACACACACACACACACACACACACACACTTAGCAGTCAGGAATGGCTTTGGGCTTCCTAGCAGTGCACGGGCCCAGCAGACATTTCTTCCCCTCCTCCCACAGTCTAAGTGGTCCTTTGTCCCCAGTACTGCCACCACCAAGCACGCTTCCTCCTCATGAGCAAAATGCACAGAAAGCAGTTGCCTATCCGTCTTGTCTTCAGCTGGTCCATACTTATTCCAGTTCTGTGTGTTGTATATAAAATATGGGCTTTGCAGGTTACAGATGGGATATGCCACTACCCCCAGCACCCCAGCATCTCATCCTGAGGATATTTTTCTACACACGGTAAAATATTAATAATAGGAATACACCATCACTAATGCAATAACTTATTTTTTGTTTTTATGACAGGGTCTCAATGTAGCCCAGAATAGTCTCAAATTCACCATGCCATGGAGGTTGTCCCTGAACTCTAGTCCTCTTGCCTCTATCTCTCAAGTGCTGGGATTACAAACCTACATGCAATAACATTCTGATTTTCCGTCCACATGTGGTTTGCTCCAGGGGTTCTTAAAACACATTTATTCTCCCCCTTCGTTTTGGATCCTAGAGTCAAACTAGGCTCACACGAAGAGTTTAAAATCTTTCAGTCTTATTTCTTAGTGTTTGGAGAATGTAAAACCAGCTATGTTTTAAAATGTTCCCCATTCTTGATTGGCTGGATTGCTTCCTTGTGGACAGCCACATTTTGAATAGCGTGCAGCAAAGCAGAGAGGTGCCCAGTCCTTTTTGCTGAGTCATACTGGGATTTACAGCTATAGTCAATGTATCCCAGCAACAGAAAGGCCAGCTTGTATTGCTTGGCTAAGGTGGGGACATGGGTTCTCTCTGGTCTAAAGGATTCCCCCTTTCCCTGTGAGGTTCATAAGCAACCTGTAAAACCAAGGTGATACCTCGAGACAAAATGTCCTGTTTCCCAACAACTCTGTCTCACTGGCTCAGCATCCATGGGTGATGCTTTCCTATGGGTTAGGCTTTCCTGGCTAAAGGGTAACATTGGAGCTGAAATGGCTACTGTACAGATGTTGTCATTGCATACACAGTTTTTTCTTTTAAATTCTTTTCCTAGCCTTAATCTTAACAGTTAACCCATTTGCACACCTGGCTAACTGAGTGGCAACCCTAAGGCTGGTGAACAAAGAGCTAGGGTATTCATGGCAGGTATTGACCGGAAATCCAGCTCATTGGTCTAAACACCCACACTCCCAGAAAGCATTTACTTCTTCTAAGGTAGGGTCTCTTAAACTAGACTAGCTTGGAGCTCACTATGTAGCTCAGGCCTGGCAAGTCTCCTGCCTCAGTCTCTCAAGTGTTGGGATTACAAATGTGAACCACTAGGCCTGGGTTGGCTTAAACTCATTTTAAAGACACTTTGAATGTTTTGTCTGTATGTATATATGTGCATCACACGCATGTCTGGTGCCCTTACAGGTCAGGAGAGAGCATTGGATCCTCTAGAACTAGAATTACAGATGATTGTGAGACACCATGTGGATGATGGGAACTAAACCTAGGTCCTCTGCGAGAGCTGTAGGGTAACAGACTCAACAGAGGCCACCCAGGCACCATGCAGGAACATACCATCCAAGGGAAAAGTACCTAAAGTTCCAAAGGAAATACCTAACATTCCAATCATTGCAGATAGGATCACCTCATGTCCCTTAGCCCAGCGCATACCCATTCCGTTTTCACCAGGACACCCTAGATAAATGTCAGCCAATTATGGGTCCCGAGCCTTAGAAATCCCTCACCCCAACGTCTGCTATTATAAAAATCCCACCCCAACTGTGCTTTGGGCTCTCAGGTCATGCCAACGCCTTAGACTCTCCCTGTGAGTTCGAACCTGAAAAAAGGGTTTTTGTTTTTACATATAGGACTTGGTCTCCTTGTTGGTTT